AACTCCTAGTCTACACAATACTCTTTTTCTTCATTGCATAATATTCAAAAGCATACACTTATAACATTAAAAAATACACATGATTTCATAGAGAGGCTACACATTCGCTGTTAAAAAAAAAAAAAAAGCAAAGGGTATAAAAACCTAGGGTACCTGAAATCTCACCACCTCAAGAAAGTCACTGTTAATATTTTACCAAACATTGCAGATATAAAGAAGTGTATGTGTGCAAGCTTTTAAAAGCATAAATGGGAACTTTATAGGTGCTGCTCTATAACCTCTCCACGCTCCAGACCTCTCAGGGTATCTTTTCCTGCCCTGTTCAGCTTCCGGCTTCCGTCACAGGTGCAGAGGGTGGCAGCCTGTCTCCCTGATGCACACGGGCCTTTCTCTCGGGCCTGAGTCTCCACTTCCGACGTGGACGCGAATTCAGTGTCCGGAAGCCAGGGATCCGACTTCTCATGTGCGTGACCGCAGTAGCCGGGACTTCTGCTCCTCTTGGGAATAAAGCAGAAAACTCACACGGCCCCCAGATGAGCGTAATTATCACGGATCACAAACACCTGAGTTAGGATCTGCGCCCCAGCCACGCCCACCCAGCCGCGGGCTGGAGGATGGAGTGGGCCGACTGCCCTTGGATCGCAGCTGCATCCACGGTCTGGTCACGGCTCCTCCCGGGCCCACAGGCTCCCCGGGGATCCCAGGCCTCCCTGCCTGGCAGCCTCCGACTGAGCAGAAAAACCAGTTTGAGAAACTCGGGAGGAGACTGCACCCCCCAACTCCGAGGCTCGGGCAGGTGTCCCTCAGAGACACAGAACACCGCGTCTTTCGCGCTTCCTCCCGACCCCTTTCTGATTCATGCTGTCGCCGGGGTGTCGCTATTCACATTGGATAAAAGCTCGCGTAGGAATCACCAGCTGACTTGAGTTACAGAGCCTCGTTCCTGGCTGCTTGCTTCACGAAGGGTTATGTGGCAGGGAAGGCGACTCCTGGAAAATTTCACTGCCATGGAATTGGGGCTCCGAAGCCTTGGCCTTCTAATCCCGTCACTGAAAGGCAAGCCGAGGCAGAGGCCGACTGCCCCACACTCACACAGCTCGTGAGTGGCAAAGCCAGGACTTCACCTCGCCAGGCAGAACTCCCCTCCACTCGGCCAGGCACCCCAGCTCCATTTCTTCACGGGTTTGTTTCAAGTGCCCCTGAAGGAGGGAGGGCAGGAAATATAGAGCAAGAACATAAAGAAAGAAGAAAAACTTTTAAAAAACAACCTGGAGAAGAAAGCTAGGAAATAAATAGGCTCAAGGAATCAGGAAGGGAAAGTAGGAGGAGTAAGTGTCCCACCGCCCTGCGCAAAGCCATGTTGGGCCCACTGGCGTCCAGCTGTGGCTCCCTATCCTGACCATCATGGCCCTGGGCGACTTCCGGGAGGTAACCCACCCGCAGTGCATGCCGGGCGCTTCCTCCAGATCCCTGGGGCATGGCTGATACCGAGACTCCCACCTGTGGCATCACTAGGCCCTGCCTGGGGATCCACTTTGCCAAAGGCTCCCTCTCAACAGTCACACAGGATGTGGAGACACAACAGTGCAAACCCCAGGACCCAGTCTGGGCCAAGTCTGAAGAGCAGCCAACCTCAGTCCTCCACTCAGCTGCAGCCCCAGCTGGGGCCTCCAGTGCTGTCCACGCCTCAAGGGTGGCTTCTCCCTCCCACCTATCCTCCTCCGAAGGTGTGTCTCCAAGGACAGGGGCCAAACCCCTCCTGCAGCCAAGTCACCCAGCGTTGCAATTGGAACTGAGACCTGCTTCCTGACCCATGACCAAGTCAGCTCAGCCAGCCTAGGTGACCCTGCCTCTTTCTGTGGCCGAAGCTTGGCAGAGCGTCCTCCTGAGGTGGCCTCCAGGGCCCTGGGCACTGTCCCACCTTGTCACACACATGGTTTTGGTGGTGCCTGGCCAGGCTGGTTTCTACATTAGTGCCTATTATGTTACCTCAGGATTCATCAGAAGTAGACCAGAGGGGAGGACCCGAGAGAAGATGCCCTAAGACACTCAGGCCACCTTCCCTGGCATGTGACCCACGGCATCACACACCTGTGCAGTCCTATCCAGCACCAGCTTGGCTGAGCACTTGGGTGTGCCACTTAGGACGTCTTAAATAACTGCTGACCATTTTTCTCTCTGCCTCAGGCCTCACAAATCACACCGAAGGTCCAGATCAGGCCACAGCCCCAGGAAGGTCAACAGGGAAACAGGATGTGGACTGGAGAGGGAGAGATGTTGAGCAAAGGTGGTGGAGAAGAGGAGGAATTGGACCCAGCCTCGTAAGAAGCTCTGTGGACATCAAAAATGTGCATCTGAAATGAACAGACATTTCTCAGACAACGAAGTAAAAGCAGCAAATAAACATATGAAAAAAGGTTCAGCATCACTGGTCATTCGAGAGATGCAGATGAAAACAACACTGAGATTCCACCTCACCCCAGAAAGTGTGGCTGCTATCATGAAATCAACCAGTAACAAATGCTGGCGGGGCTGTGGGGAAAGAGGAACCCTGCTCCACTGCTGGTGGGAGTGTAGACTGGTGCAACCACTGTGAAAATCAGCATGGAGATACCTCAAAGAACTAGGACTGGAAGTCCCATTTGAGCCTGCTATTCCCCTGCTGGGTATCTTCCCCAAAGAATTAAAAGAATCATACCACAGTGATATATATGTGCCCATGTTCATAGAGCACAGTTTGTAATAGCTAACACTTGGAAACAGCCCAACTGTCCATCAACTGGAAACTGGATAAAGAAGATATGGTTTTTTAATAAAATGGAGTACTACTCAGCCATAAAGAATGAGAAACTACAGTCATTTATAGCTAAATGGATGCACATTGAGGGCATACACTTAAGTGAAGTAAATAGGACACACATGGGTAAATACAGAATAGTTCCTCTGGTGTGAAAAACTAAAAGTATAAATAAGGATCAAAAGGTATAATTGATATTGTGAAATAGGAAGAAAATGTCTAAAGGAGTAGGGGAAATGGGAGGGGAAGGGGAAAGGAAAGAAGGGGAAAGAAAAATATGAGAAAAGGAAAACATGGAAACAAAATTTTTATAAATAGGGAAGGGTGGGGGGGGGTGAGGGAGGATAGGGAAATGGAGGGAAGAAAAGACCCAAGATGCATCATGCACAGGTACAAGCACCCAATGATAAATGTAAACGTATTGTGTACCTAAAATGCACCAATAAAAGAATTTAAGCCAAAAAAGAAGCTCTATGGACAGCAGAGAGGGAGTGGAGCCATGTCCCCACACTCCGTCACCGCTGGGGGCTGGGCCTGATGGGGGGACATTCAGTGTCAGGCACTTCCGCTGTCCTCTCACCCTGCACCTGCAGGTGGCCCTCTGTGATATGCAGGTGTGACAGGCCACAGGCACACCTGGGACAGGGTGTCCCAAGCCTGGAGAAGGACCCAGGGGCTGTGGCTGAGGAGCCAGCAAGGACTTCAACAAGAGCCCAACACCCAGTGAAGGAATCCTGGATCCCAGCGTGGAGTTAGCGACCCCGGGGAAGGTGTGTAAGGAGAGAGCACCGGGAGTCCACCAAAAAACGCCAGTGGGAGTAGGGGAGCGGCGAGGACATGGAGCAGGAGTCCTGGGCTGCGGGAAGCGCCAGCTAACACGAGACTCTCGATCCGATCCGGGGTACAGCACAAAACGGAGAGTGGCGAACTGCGCTGGGCGGTTCTGTCACTGTCAGGCCGTGTGACTTCCAGCCCTGTGCCCCTCGGGGCTGCCGGGAGACTGGCAGGTTTCCTACAGCTGAGCGCCTGCAGCAACATCTGCCCGCAGGAAGTCCTGGTTAAAGGTTAGCTCTCGCTGTTCTCCTGCTCCATCTGGGCTTCCCCAGCCCCGAGCAGAGTCCTTGGGTGCACAGAGCCGTTCCAGCTCTGCCCGGACGTTAATTGTGGAACTGTATTACCAATGGAATAATGACAGGAAAAACATCTGTACTGGTTCAGTACACACTTGATTTTTCAATTTTTTTTTTTTGGTACCGGGGATCGAACTCAGGACCTTGTGCTTGCGAGGCAGGCACCAGAACCACTGAGCTAAATCCTCGCCCCTCAAAATTATTTTCACTCTGCTGTTGGTTGAATCTGAAGATTCAGAACCCAGGATCCGCAGATGAGAGGGCCGACCCTGTCTCATTTTCAGCTTGCTGTCGGCCACGACTTTCACACAAGATAAATTCAAAGCGGACCGTGGAGAAGTGAAATAAAGAACAGACACAAAAGCAAAGGTCGCCCTTGTCGAGATCCCCACCCGCCAGCCGTAACTAACAGCTGTGGAAGTTTCCGAGCCTGAGGCTTCGACTCCGGGCAGCGGTTCCAGGGAGCAGCACCGGGCGAGGGGCGCTTTCAGGCCGGAAAGGAGACCCGGGGACAGCCCGGAAGTGTGCCCCACTGAGATCCCTGTCCTTCCACTTTCTTGCTCTCTCTGGAGTTTCTCCAGAGCAACCCCCCCACCCCCCCGTGGGCCTGGGCGCCCCCCATCAGCTTTAGCACCACGCTGGCCCCAGCTGCTCAATGTAGTTTGTTGAATGACTTATAAATAGTATGAAGCCTGAAAGGAAAAGCTGCTCTTCTATCTAACGCAAACCCAAATCCATCCAGAAAAGAGCAACCAAATCCAATTAATTCCTGGGTGTCGGCCAAGTCCTGGGCGCTGGAAACCCCGATCTCCTGGCGGGCAGGTGCCCTGGGGACTCACTGCAGTCGCCTGGCCCGGGGCCACTTGTGGCCCAAGGCGCTTTCAGAGGCACAGCGACCGTTTTCCTCAGAAATTTCTGGAGCGGAGCCTGACTTGGGAGGGGGCCTGATGGGGCGCCTCGCGGCGGCGGGGCTGCACGCAAGAGGGGGCCGCACACAAGACGGGGCCGCTGGGGCCTTGAACGCCGCGCACCTGGGGGGCGGGGCCGGAGGGGCGGAGGGGCGGGGGCGGGGCGGGGCCAGAGGGGCGGATCGGGAGCAGAGGACCGGGATCCGGGGAGGCAGTGCCCGCGGAGACCAGGCAGCGGCGACACCGCGACGGGCGACAGAGCGACCCCGCAGGCGAGTGCGCGGGGATGGGAGGAGGAGCCAGCGCCGGGGTCCCGCGTGTCCCCCAAGTCCCCAGGGCCCCCCGCGTCGCGCGCGCCACGCCCCCTCCCCGCCCTCTCTGTCCCCGGGAGAACCCAGGGAAGGGGTCCGGAGCCCCCCGAGGAGGCCGCGATCGCGGGTGGGAAGGCGGAGGTCGAGGCGCACGCAGGATCCGTTCCCAGGATCAGGGCTACTCCTTTTCCATTTTAACTCGGGCGCATCCACCAAAGCGAATTTGTAAACCGCTGTCACCACCACCGTCCGCGGACCCTCGCGCGTCCCTGCCTCGGGTGGGTGTCGTGTACACTTGGCTCGAGCCATTCCTAACTTTCGGGAAGGAAGCCTGGCTCTCGTGCGGCTCGCGCGGGAGAGAAACTTCAGGGCGAGGACCTGCCAGGCCTGCCACCCCGCGGTCGCCCTGTGCGGGTGTAGGGGTTGAGTACAAACAAGTGGCTGCCCCGGGAGGAAGCAAGAGAGGTCCCCGGCGCCCACGTGCCACGGCGCTTTCATGGCTGCTCCAAGTGGAAGCCAGGGACTGCGAGCCTGGTGGGGCTGGACAGACCTCACATGATTCGCTTCCTCCCATCCGTCTTCCCTCCCCTCCCCCTGCGGTCTCTGGGCCAGTTTATGTTTCCTGGGGCGGCTGCGACTTCGCCTGGACGCACTGCCTGTAATGAATCTCGGTCTTGTCGGTCGCTGGCCCGGGTCTGCGCAGAGCCCTGTCTGGCTTGGCTGGTGAGGCGCAGGCAGCGCCCTGGTCCTAGGGGGAAGGATCGGGTCCCAGCACCGCCCTCCCTCCCTCCGGACCAGGAAGCCAGCCGCTGGGATGACGGGATTGAATCCTACTACTGCCAAAACAATCACTTTCAAGTTAGGAGCCAGCTTTTCTTTTGCTTTTAAAACCGAATTGTATATATTAGCAAGGCCTTTTTCCAGTAAACAAGCATGAGGTTCCCGCACATAATTTTTGAAACTAACTGAGCGTTGTAGATTAAAGGATAGGAGAAGGTGAGATCCGATGTCCAGGCCCTTTGCTTGGCTTGTCAGATAACCAGCTCTCAGAAGTCCTGGTTTTAAGTCCAAAAACTGCTTAACAGTTCAGTGTCTGAGTGTTGAGTCATGTACTCAGAACAGACCCAGCAGTTAGATTTGTACAGGGTTACATGAAAATGGGAATCTGGGTTTCACGAGGCTGCAGAAATTAGTATAGGCACTTTCTGTGTAGAAACCTCCCATCTTACTTGAAAAACTAGCTCTCCAACAAGTTAGTGTTGTCGCTTGTCAGGGTACACCGTGGTGCGTCAGGTTGTGAGTGGGAAACCTTGAGCCAATGGTTAGCTGCCACCGAGCGAGTTTTGTTTTTTATGCTAAATATCTCTCTGTAGCAGGAAAACAAAGCAGATTTAGCATTATGTCATTTACCGGGTTGGACTTGCACGGAGTGGGTGTGTACCCTGGTTTTTATTTCAGCTCTAGCCTGACTTAGAAAAGTAAGTTGTTGGAAGTCAAGTGAATTTTTCTGAGCCCTAAATTGGGAAGAGAAACAGATGTACAGTGGTTTGGGTTGTGCACTTGGGTGTCAGGCAGCAAAAGTACTATTCGTTGCTTAACCTCTTCCAGTCTGATTTGTAAACTAGTGGTGACAGTGGTATCTAGCCCTAGGGTTTTGATGAAAGTGTGGTATGCTGTCTTCAAAGGGCACTTTTGAAAGGATCTAACCCATAGCAGATATCCAAAGTTATTAGGCAGTTTAGTTATCCAGCTACCCGATCAGCAGGCTATTGGGTAAATTACAAAATGAGAGCTTGAACCTTCAGAAAATGTGAGAGAGGGAAGCTTTAGATTTAAAAAAAAAAGTGCTTGATTTATGTATGTGTGGTACGTACGTGAATGTGTGTAATATTCTGCCACCACATATGAACAATTACGATTTGTCATTTTTGCTTTTCGTGCTGAAGGTATAGTTGCAGAGTAAAAGAGAACTTTTATTTCAAGTGGTTGTGTTTATTGGTCTTGGGTGGGAAGTGAAACCAGGAACTGAAGTATTTGTCTTTCACCCAGCCTGATTTTAATTAAAGTGTGAACTCTGTGGTCCAGGGGATCTGCCACTTGCTGGGCCTCTGGATGGCCGGCCCCAGATAAGCCCTGGAGGCTGCAGGGCCGAGGGTGCGTTTTCCCCGTGTTTCTCAACTTCTCAGAGTGGACATGCAGTTCACTTGGGAAATCTACTCATCCGTCATGGACTCATTGCTAAAATCTGCACAATTTAAAAAATGCTTCCATCTTAAACCCTTTCAAGCACTTGATCTCTCTCTCTCTCTCTCTCTCTCTCTCTCTCTCTTTTTCTCTGTCCTGTCTCTCATCAGTGAGCACCAGGCACACAGATTCGCACTTATCGGAATCCCAGCTTACCCCACAAGTGGCTTCTGATTGTTCTAATTGTTCAGCAGGGACCTCGGCCCAGGTGGGTAATGATTTAACATGACTGTGCGGGGGACAGAGTTCTCATTAAGCGCTCCTCGCCTGTGACAGAGTGCTCTGAGGCTGGGGAGATCGGGCAGGTCACTGGTGGGTTCCTCTCCAGGAACCAATGTTCCTAACCCTGCATCATGACAAAGCCCGGGTGCATGGCTCTGTGCGTGTAGACTGTGCACAAGTGACTTCACCCCCTGAACCTCCTTTGGGTGCAGTGAGGATTAAACGAGTTAGTCTGGGGGGAACTGGGCTCCTGAACATGGCCCCTAGTCCGTGTTCAACAAACATCAACATAAAATTACCTTTCCAAACCTTGTATCATGAGCATGGCGCTATTTTTATAACATGAAAACGGCTGTGAAAGTGTAACATTTCCTCCAAATCTAAAAAGGCTCAGTCATTTTAAGAAGTCCTGCCAAACAGCACTTGCAAAGAGAATACGATAATTAGGCAACATCGCCGTGTCTTTGAAATGTGGAATGGATTGCGATATTAATATATTCAACAAATGAATTCTCCTAGATCTCAATTACATTTTCCTTTCTTATTAAAAACTTTTTAAAAAATCAGTAATTCATGAAGCTAGTTATAGATTAAATAGGAGGAAGGCAGTGTGGAAGTTATAGGGCATTATTACAATTATAATTAGCTTACAATTTTTGAATGCATTTTAGAAAGTCCAGAAGGAAATACAGACAAATGGGTGGTGGGACTAATGGGCCCCGGTCTCTCCTTTCTTACTGCAGTGAGCCTGCACACCTCACACTGAGCAATTCACCTGCATAGTAGATACTCAAAGCCAATTCTAGCTTATTAGCTTTCTGTGGAAGGATTTTGTTGTTGTTTGGGGGAAAAAAACCACATTCATGCCCTTGAAAGTCCTCAAGTTCAGAGCAAACACCGTAAAGTTCCTAGATGTGTTGATCTCCGTAAGAGATGTGAAAACCCCGCCACGGGCTGAGTCTCCCGACCTCGACACTGTGGCAGCCGTCACTCCCGGGTCTGAGTGGGCTGCGCTTGTCGGCCGAGCTCCCAGTGAGATGACTTGGGAGCCCTGAGGTCAGCAGGAGGGGCCTGCACCGCAGGGCGGGAATCCGCGGTGGGCCTGGTGCCCGGGCCCTGTCAGCCCTTTCTGAGCCCCTTGGTTCAGGCTTGCTGTCCTCACAAGGGCCTGAGCCTGACCCACTGGCAAGAAGAGAACCCAGGGAGGGGCCGCAGGCCAGGGCTCCCGGGGACCTGCCATGCCCACCTCCCATCCCTGAGTCCCAGAGGAGGCCCAGCCTGTGCTGTCCGAGCACCTGAGCCCCCAGTTTCCCTCTTTGGAAGGACAAGGGAGTGCTGAGCAGGTAGCTGGCAGCCAGGGCAGAGGATGGGGCTAGGCTGAAGGTGTCTCCCAAGTGCTGGTGACTCCACTTCCGGCCAAGTCTCTTGAAAATCATTTCTGGTGTCACATGAATGTTTGGTTTATTATGTCAGGTTTTATTGGGTATCATAAAAGTGCTTAGCTGTGAGTGTCTGGTTGCTGTCCTGAAACAAGAAAGGTTTTTGTCTTCTTCCAATGGTGGTGCATTTCACAAGGTTACTATGCAGTAAAACCAGGGACTTTCGGACTTTTCTCCTCCCAGAGAGGATGAGCAGCAGCAAGGAAGACTTTTCCTGGGTCTCTCAGAGTTGATCAGGGGCCTGGAACCACCTGGCTTTCCAGGTTCATTGGTGGCTAAGGGGTGACTGTCCCCTGGATGCCTCCCCACCCACCGGCAGGGTCTTGAGCTGGAGCTGCCAGCCGCGAGGTGGGCAGAGGAGAGATGCCTGGGTGAGCTGAGTCGGGGTGATCTCAGAGGCTCGCCGGAGTGCAGCCGACAGAGGGCTCGGCCCGCCTGCACTTGTGCCATGTGTAGAGAATCGCAAGATCCTGCAGCCCGCGGAGGGGCACCTTGACTTCACAGCACACCAGGCTCCCCATGAGGCCCCTAGCCGGGTTCCCTGACCCTGCTCACTCAGCCCTCAGCTCCTGCTGGAATTCTTTGACTCGGGTCCCAGGCTTGCAGGGACCTCAGATTTTGTCTATTTTGGGGAGAGAAAAGCAGGAGGCTTTTCTTGCAATGAAGACTGAAGGTGAAATACATTAAGTCTCGAGTGAGCTAAGTCTGGGACTGAAAGGGGACTTGGAATCTAAAAGCTGCTTGGAGTTTATTCATCACCCTGGAGGTCAGACCCTGCAGCATTCAAGCCGGACCTCAGCAGATGGGAAGGCGTCATGGCCAGCGGGCCGGGCGTCGGTGTGCTCTGGATTGGGCTGCATCCTTCCCAAGGGCCAGGCCAGGGCTGCCTCGAGCCCGCAGGACTTCCTGTGGCTGTGTGAGGCCGTGACTGGCTTTGTCGTGGAGGTTGGCTGTCGACACAGAGGGATTGCAGTGTGACTGCTTCCGGGCTGCCTTAACCAGCAGTGCAGACTTCTCAAGTGCACTCGAGCACACAGGAGGGGTGGGGGCTCAAAT